TATTTTTCTGGACAATTATCTATTTCATCTAGGCTTTCAAACTGATTTATATATAATTATGCAAATTAGTCCTTTATGATTTGAATGTTTTTACCTGTTATATTCCCTAATCCTTAAAAGCTACAGGTTCTGGGTATATCTTACTAAAGTTCCATCATGGTCCATGGGACAAAAAATTATAAATCTCTGTGTGTGTGTTTGTAATAGTGTTATTGAACGCATACTTTTCTGTCTTAACTAGCTAGCTAGCTGTTTATCTGGCCATCTAACTATTTATCTTGCTATCCTGGTATCTATGTATATTTCACATGGTAGAGAGAACAAAGGGCATTTACAAAGCATTTGCATTCCTGATGAGAGAATTGATTGGGCTGTCCTTTTCTTCTCCTTTCTGCCTTAGGCTAAGACATGGTACCATTTTGCAACAACAGGAGAGAAGCCACGAGAATTGTGGAGGCATAGGCTCTGCCATTGATGAGCTGCTGAGATAACACCAGGAAACACCTACCTCCGGAATTCTTGGTAAGTAAGAGGTATAAGCCTCTGTTTGTGCCGCTCCAAGTCAGGGTTCCATTATTTGCAGCTGAATACATTCCTAACTGATAGAGGAAGTAAGATAGGCGAAACCAGGCAGTTTTTAGGCAAAACCAGACAGCTTTAGTTGTTCATAGTATGTAAATGTTTATATACAGAAAAATTATTGTAGAGACACCAAATTCGCCAACTCTAAGTTAGGAACCTGAGTAGCAATTTCACAAATTAAGTGCATATTGCATGGCCTTTTTAGTGTAACCATTGTTAAAAGCATGATTTGCATAAATTATTCACAATGTTTTAGATGTATTTTACCTTTTTCATTTTTGTACAATGGGATACAGATTGGTTACATCTTGTACAGATGATAGGGTATATCCTCCTAGGGATTCAAAATGATTAAATGAGATAATCCATATAAAGGGCCTAGGACAGTGCCTGGCACATGGTAAAGTGCTCCATAAATGTTAATTATAATGTTTTAATAAGTAATATTGATTAAAGAATAGTGATGTTTGCCACTCATACTTAGATGACTAGCTCCTTGTCATCCTTTGCATTCCCATAAGAAAAGTCACCTCCTCTGAGAGGCCCTCCCTGGCTATTCTATCTCAAGTGGAATCCCTCCCCAAATAGCTCCCATTCCCCATCACCACCATCCTGTTTATTAGCCCAGAGACCTTTTCATCATTTGTAATTCTTTTAGTTATTTATTTGGTAAAGGCATGTCTCCCCTGATAGAACTTACCCATGAGAGCAGAACTCCCAGTGGCTGGCATAGGTTCTGTACTCTCTATATATTTGTTGAGTAAAAAGATCACCAAAAATGTCCAAGAAACCATTATCATAAGAGAATACCATTTGACATAGAAAGGCTGTTCTGAGGTGGCCATTTCTTTGGGGATAATTTTGCCTACATTGAAATAAAAGTGAAGGTGGGTAAAATTTCTGCCCAATTCTAGACCCTCCTCAAACTAAATAAACCCTCAGGGGGCTTAGTGGTTTATTATTATTATTATTTTTAATCTAAAAAAGATCAGAGAATAGTTATTTTTAATATTTGGCCTCTACAGCTTTATAAAGTGGAGCACAAATTGTTACTTTTAGAAAAATATGTTGTTTTGCATTTGAGTAGGGATTAAGATTAAGTAAGATTCAGCTAACAATTAAAAAACGAATGGTTTATTGTAATCAAATATTTAGATGAAATTCTTCATGATTTTTTGGAATTCTGAAGATCCTAGAATTTAAAATAGCCCTATAAGAGTTACGTTTGGTACCAAGTCAAAGGGAAAACGAAAATGAAATTGTTTTAGTAGAAGGGATAAATCCCAAGGAGGAGAAGGGACCCTGAAACACATGTGAGTGACTGGAGGTGGCCCCATGGCAAACCTCTGAACTGGGGGTAAGGCAGGAGTGTGTCCAGTGCCATTCTCTGAGGGACGAGGACGTCCCTCTCCCCGCCCCGACCTGCTCACGACCCCCACCCCCACCCCACCATCACCACTGGATATGGAATCAATGGAGACATGCAGGATTTCCCCTTGGGGTCATGGGTCCTGGGCTCCTGGCAGCTGGCATCCAGGAGAGAAGAGCAGTAGACCTTCTCTTTTTTTCTATATCTTTTAGAACTACAGGACATTGTAGTAGCCAAGCAGTGGGCTTTGGCTACCTGAGTTTGAAGCCCATTTTCCCTGCTTAACTCTTGGGGCAAGTTACTTTGGCCTCTCTAGGCCTTGTAAAATGGCAGTAATAGCTGAACGGGTCTCATTGGGCAGTGATTTAATTGGCACATAGTAGGTGATGGATAACCGTGACTTTTATTACCCTCTTTCTGGACGTCATCGCAAAGTCTCTGCCAGTTTTGACCAGCAAGGGCCGGGGGTTCTGGGATATCGTTTTCTATGTATAAATGTTCTATAGCCTGAGAATTTGCTTCCTAATTGTGATGGCTATGTGGCTAGCACTATGACAATCTTACGTGGATTATTCAGAGAAGGCTCTAGAATTTCTGTGTGGGCGGGGCATACAGGCGGCCATACTGGAAGAGGGGCTTTGGGACTTTATTCTCCGCCAGCACTTTACTTGGATGGGTGTTTGTATGGTGGGCTGGTCTTGTACTTGTTGCCTAGGGTTTAGTTAATTGTGTTTATTTGGAGTACTTTGGATGATTATGGGAATTTGGGGACTGGTCTTCTGGCTATATTTGCATAGCAAGCACTCGTGTAGATTATATGTTAATTTGGGGGGGCGGTTTGAGGGTCGTTTTGTAACGAAATCTACCTAGTAAGCCAACAATTTTTATGTGGAATGAATGTTACATAGGAAGCTTTGGGAAGGTTTATGGACATGGGGTATTCGCTACTTTTTCTGCCCTCCGTGGGGCATGCTTTGCTCACCTCCGGTATACTCTGCTTGAGGATTAATTGCCTGGAATTAATTTGACCTAGAAAATGGAACAGGAAGTAGGTTTTTGGCCTGAATTACAGAATCAACTTGATTAATGTCCCATTTGCCCAGTTTCAGAGGGTGCAATGATTGATGCTGGGGGCAAAGTGGTCTCTCCCTCCCACCCCTCCAGGAAGCCACACCATGGGTGACCGTGAACTTAAGGGATGAGCCTGGGGGGGGGGGTGAAGGACTAGGGAGCCCAAGTGGACCTCAGGTCCAAGCCATAACCCACCAAGGATTCAGAGTTTGATATGGGGCCCATGAGTGCTGGTGGCCACCCCTTCCCCCAACAGTGGTGGAAGATTGTTTTATTTGTATTTCACTTCATTATGAGTGAGGTTGCATGGTTTCCCCAATGTTAATTAGTTATTTGTACCTTTTTAAAAAAGTAAAATTGCTTGTTCATGTACCTTGCCCATTTTTGCGAGGTGTCTGCTTATTAATTCTTCAGAGCTCTTTGCTTATTAGGGAAACTAACCCTTTGTTACAGATTTTTACCCAGTCTCCACCCCCACCCCATTCATATTTGATATTAATTTTTGTATGGTCATCCCCCACCCCTTTATGTTTTTTTTTAATAATCTTAGGTCATGCTTAGAGAGGCCTTCTATAAACCAAGATTTTAATTATAAAAATTGCCATTTTTAAAGTAACTTTTTGTACTTAAACATATGTGTTTGACCCACGTTGAGTTCATTCGTGTATGGAACAAGGTAGGGATAATTAGTTATTTGTACCTTTTTAAAAAGTAAAATTGCTGGTTTATGTACCTTGCCCATTTTTGTGATGGGCTTGCTTATTAATTCTTCAGAGCTCTTTGCTTATTAGGGAAATTAACCCTTTGTTACAGGTTTTTACCCAGTCTCCACTCCCACCCCCATTCATATTTGATTTTAATTTTCGTACGGTCCTCCCCCACCCCAGCGCCTTGTTTTTTAAATCTTAGGTCATGCTTAGAGAGGCCTTCTATAAACCAAGATTTTAATTGTAAAAATTGCCTTTTTAAAAAATTAATTATTATTTTTTTGCGGTACACGGGCCTCTCACTGTTGTGGCCCCTCCCGTTGTGGAGCACAGGCTCCGGATGCGCAGGCTCAACGGCCATGGCTCATGGGCCTAGCCGCTCCGCGGCATGTGGGACCTTCTTGGACCGGGGCAGGAACCCACGTCCCCTGCATCGGCAGGCGGACTTTCAACCACTGTGCCACCAGGGAAGCCCTAAAAATGACCTTTTTGAAAGTAACTTTTTGTATTTCAACATATGTGTTTGACCCACACTGAGTTCATTTGTGTATGGAATGAGGTAGGGATCCAGTTTTTTTCCCCAAATCGCTATACCATTTCTTTCTCATTATTTGATAGCTTAGTAGCAGCTTTATTCCTCCTCAACCCCCACCTCCCGCCTTTACTGAGATATAATTGACAAAATTTTAAGATATTTAAAGTGTAAAATGTGATATTTAATATACATTGTACACCATTCCTTGAATAACTCTTTTCCTGATTGTAAACTGCATTCCTAAATTCCTCCCACCCAGCTGAGTCCCTGTCTTAATGCAGGACAGACAGCTGAAATTCAAACACCTCTTTGGGGAGACTAGGTAAGCAGGCACACTGTGAGACAATACATAAGGGTATAAGTTGATAGACTCTTTGGATAGGGCAGCAGTGATCAAAGCATAGAACTTTTTTGATGGGGCTTAGTGGTTTTCTATGGGGCATGGGTTCGAGAGGAGGACAGAGTGGACATTTTGTATCGTCTGCAAATTGTTTTCAGAAACCCAAGGTTCGGTCAACAAAAACATAGAGTGGCAATATTTTAGTATCGTCTGCAAATTGTTTTCAGAAACCCAAGGTTCGGTCAACAAAAACATAGAGTGGCAATATTTTATACCCACTTATAACCTTGGGGCCTTGTCACCTCACCACGGGGGCCTCCCAACTTCTGATGCAGTCAAAACCCTGAACAATGGGTGTTTGCTTGAAACCACAAATAATTCACGGGAGTCACATCCTTTGCTCACATTTAATTTTTATTTTGATTTTTTTAATGCTGCACAACACAATACTTATTTCATTTGTTTCATTTATGTCATTTATTCTTTTATTTCTTTATTTCTGTTTGCTGCTGTTATTTTACTTACTTAAAGAGAGAGGGAACGTTTGTGGCCTTTTTTTCCTTTATCTTTTTCTGTAGGCCGCCTTAAGCTTTCTAAATTTGGAATATTTAAGCAAGCTGAAGGGTAAAGGGGGTTTCGCAAAATCACTTGAGGGAAAGGAAAGGTTGCTTTGTTAATCATGCCCTATGGTGGGTGATCAACTGCGTGTACAATTACGTTTCACTTTTAATTAATTGTGCTTAAGGCCTTAATTAAATTTGGAAGTTCCCTTCTTAGAGCAGCTCATACTGACGGAGGTGCATGCGCTGGATGATGTCACGGCAGTCGTTGAACACACGGCGAATGTTCTCTGTGTCCACAGCGCAGGTGAAGTGAGGGTAGCAATAGTGGCGCCCGTCTCCACTAGCAGTGCTGATTCTCTGTGGGCACAGAAGGAAACTCGGTCAGTGCCGCCTCTCCAGTAAGTCCCCCTGTCGGCAGTGGGGTCACCTACCAAGGACTGCCCACCAGTCATTGATGTTATGTTAAAACAAACCCAAGTTGAGGGGCACAAAGGCTAAATTCATACTGACTATTGATGAAATAACACTGAGGAACTGGATGGTTTGATCCCCAAATTTAGAAGTAAGGAAACTTACACCCCTAAGAATAAGAGAACAAGCAGAGAGAGGGAACCAAAGACAGTCTCTACTCACCAGAAATTCATCTCGAATGAAGTACTTGGCCCGGGTCACGCGTGGGTCCTCTCCGGGCTCGGGAGTCGCTGCAAAGAATGTAAATATTTTGTTACTTAAGTGATTAAAATAAGGTTCTTTGGCTCCCCCTACAGATCCCTTATAGTGTGGTGGTGGTTGAGGGAGCGGGGGGTTCCATTCTTAGAGGATGTTCATTTTTAAAAATCCAGAACAGAAATTTTTAACATATGCAAGACACCCCGTAGGACCAAGGGGGCACTGATCAACTGCAGAAGGCCACACATACCATCCTCAGGAGTAGTGTAGCGAGCAAATTCTGGAAAGTAGTCCTCAATCTTCGATTTTCCAGCAAGGACTTTCTCAGCGAGCAGATCTTGCTTGTTGAGGAACAGAATCACAGAGATGGTGCGCAGCCATCTAAGAAAGAGAGACACAGGTTTAACGCTCAGGAAAAGAAAGGATTCTTTCTGCAAGGGGTTTGAGATGCTTGCCCAAGAACTTGCACAAGATCCTTTTCTACTAGCCATGCAAATACAGGGCCTTGAGATCAGTGGGGAGGAGACCAGGGGGTCACCGCCCAAACCTGTTGTTCCAGATGCTCTTGAAGAGGTTCAGCGCCTCCTGCAGGCGGTTGGTCTGGTTGTCCTCCCGGATGACCATGTTGTAGCTGCTGCTGGCAACCACGAAGATGATGGCAGTCACATCTTCGGCACAAGAAAGCAAAAGCAGTGCACGTTAGAAGAGAAAATGATCCTTAACGATGAAAAAACCAAAATGTCCTTAAAGACCTAAGCCCATGGCTTCCGTACCATTGAAGCACTGGATCCATTTGCGGCGTTCATCACGCTGGCCGCCCACATCGAACATGCTGCAGGAGAGAAATGACACCTGGTCACTCCAAGGGCCAACACTGGTCCACCATTCTCCCTGCCAGAGGGAACATCAAGAAATCTCTCTCTCTTTCTCTCTCTCTTTTTTTTTTTTAAAAGGGAGCCATTTACTTACTGGAAGTTGACTTTATCCACCTGGAACTTGGTCTCAAAGATTCCAGAGGTCAGGACGCGGCAGCGCAGCAGGTCCTAAAACAAAATCTTAGGTCAGGGGATCTCATCCAAACGAACCAAAACATTATTAATAATTGACAGTCTGGAGCAAAAGTCTTGACTAGTTCGGAAAGAAGGCTCTGCGTCCTCTGCTTGTGAGACCGTGTGCATACCTGGTCGCTGGGCACATAGTCAGCCTGCTTGATGACGTCAATCTTGTCCAGGAAGCTGGGAGGGAAAGAAAAATGCACAGGGGTGAGCACGCACTCACGCCACTTCGCCCACTATTCCTGCCTCTCTGCCAAGTCCAGCTAAATGGGAATGATCACCCCACAGTTACCTGGCATTAAGTCAATGCGGAGTTTGCTTGTGTTCATTATGAGTCCAAGCTTATGCCTTAGAAAAGGTTAGAGCAAACAGACTTTAAGATAAATGTACCTGGCTGACCAGTGGGTCTAGGAGCCAGGAGCTCGGGGTGGGCTCTCAGGACCCCTGGCCTACAGGCACAGCACAGGTCAGTGCAGAGCTCTGGTCTTGCTTTAAGCTTAAAAGGCCGGTTCTGTGCATGTCAATTAGCTGAAGGCCCAAAACCAGGTCTGATTTTGTGCCATTTGATAAAGACTGAGTAAAATATTCAGATTTTCAAATTGTTTGCCTTTGACTAAAATGGCAAGTAGTTTGAAAACTGTACCCTTCCACGCCACACAGTTTTTTGTTTAATGAAAAAGATGGCACACTTTAAAGAAACAAGGATTCCCCCCGCCCCCCCTCTCCAACAAGGAACTAATGAAAATAAGATTGAGTTACTCAGAAAGGGTATCCCTTCCTTCTACTTTTAAGAAGGGGCCCTTTTGGCCCTTACCACAGTGAACAGGAAACAGACACAAAGTTCCCTTCCGTTCCACTTGGTCCATGAAATAGAACAGTCCAGATATTAAACTTTGAGTTTTCAAAAAACCTCACGGCCATCCAGGTTAGGGGCCCTTATCTGGGCAGGGAGCAAGTACAGTGGAGGGGCGGGGGGGGGGCGGTCTCAGGGGCCATCATTAGTGATGTAAAAGCTTTAGAGGGAAAAGCAGTGTTTTCTATCTCCCGCTCCACAGCCATAACTGTTCCCAAAGTAAAAAGTATCTTGCTTGTGTTGCCTGACTAGATACACTGTTAGGAAAAATAACTTCTAAAAGACTGGACTAATTTAATTACTGTGAAAAGTTAATATTAAAACCAGCTTTTTGGGGGGCAGGGGTCTGGATTGTAAAGCGGGCTAATCAGGAAAAAAATCACAAAGAGAGAAAAGTCTATTTAAAGAAATTCTATAAGGTTTCCCCCCCCCTCCCCGCCCCTTCCTTTTTACCAGTTTAAAGTTAGTCTGGCTTAGAGGATATACCGACTTGCCCAATCAGTCTTACATTACAGCACCGGGCCAGAAATAGCTCCCCAGCCGCCCTGGCCTGCAGCACGTTGCCATGGCAACAGAACCACAGTTCTATAAATAGATCATCAGCACCAAATCTTGTGAGAGAGACATCTGGAGTAAGGCCAGCCAAACCCCAGCTCAACAAATAAAAATAGGCACCTTAAGGAACGGGCAAGGTACCAGGAGCTCAACTTTAACATAAAGGCCGTTGAACCAGAAACACGTTGGTCACTGCAGAGGCAGGGCTACTTTAATCATTGGGCTGGGGAAGACATTTTCTAAGATTCAAGCTATGTTCCCTTTTTCCCTGGAGTTCCCTTGAAACTTTCCATAAATTGTGCAAATGTTGCCATTTTCAGATAAAGTTGCAGGAGTAACTGAATTTTGCCTTAAAAAAACAACTTTTAAATGGTGTGAGATTCAAAAAAAAAAAAAACTGGCTAACTGTTCATCAATGAAGTTGTTACACCCTCCCCACTTCCAGAGCGCTCAAAACTGGGATGGTTAAACCCTCCTAATCTTGTACCTGTACTTCTGACTTGGATCCAAAATACAAAAGGCAAACAATTCCAGGATTTCCATTTGTTTTGCGTTACTATAATTAGCACTTCCAGCTTTAAGCTCAAACTTTTGAGAAAATCAGGGGCTTTGTTGAAGAAGGGGTGGGGGTGGGAGGGTCACAGGGACTGGCCCAGATGGACTGTTTTTCTGCTCCTTGAAAAAATATACAGATTTGCTTGTATATTTAAAAAAAAAAAAATAAAAAAAATCACAAAATAGCTACAGGTGTGACAACTGAAAATAATCAAATGCATTTTCGATGGGAAAGCAGGGCCAGGGAAAGATAAATTGATAGGTTTCACAGCCCCTAACATCAGCTTGTGTGATGTGTCTCTAACAGGATTCTGGGGAGCTTGCTTCGCGTTTGCTGTTTGAGCGCTGTCACCTCTTCCTCCCTCCTGTTTATTCGAGTGGTTTTCACAATAAGGTCCTCCGGCGTGGGGCTCCTACGTCATGCGATTTTAGCTTGTTGTGAGCCAGCCGGGGTACCTTGGTCCTGGTTACTTAATATTTTCAATAGCAAAATTGTTTGTGAGTTTCAGTTACTTACATGAGAGAGGCTAAAATATCACAAATCTCTCTTGCCCTTCCCCCGGTCATAAAAGACAATCCAACTTGAGAAAATGATAACTGAGCCCACTTAGTACATTTGTGCAATGTCAGCAAACAAACGATACCTTTAAAATATTTTTGATGGCTCTGAACCTCACATATTTGCTATGTTATGTACAGGATGAGGAGGGTCATAAACTATTTAAAAGGCAACTTTCCAGCTGTGTTATCACATCCACTGGAAGGCAGCCCATGAAAGGACAGAGCAAGGACCCCATGGGGGGAGCCATGGGGGGAGCATCCTTGAATTAAGGCCCAGTGTGAATGAATAAATAAGGATAGGAAATGGAATTCAACACAGTCCCCGACTCTAGATGAACTAGAAATATGGCACTGTGGAAGCTACTGTAGTCACCTACCTGATAGCAGAAATAGCAAAGCAACTTATCAGTCACCAAGGAGGAGGAGGCATATTTTTGTCCTCACTGTTCCTCTTTGTCAGGTTTTTACATTACAGCAATAAGATAGAATATTTCTACCTGATGCAAAGTGTGAGAGCTGCCCTATCTCCCCAAACGCTTGGAGGTCAATTCAATTAATTACTTCAAGCTCACTAATTATGAATGTCACTTTATTGCAGGTAATTATCATTTTGCTCTAACAGGCATTGTTTGTATAAAAAGAATGTCACCGCACTAAAAAGTGCAATTAAGGGCTTTATAAAACAAATGAATCAGACTAGAACTTTCTAACCGCAGGTGGGAATAACTGGCTGGCTTCTATGAAAAGAACTCATTTACAAGTAACTTGAAAAGTGGGAGTCGAGGTTTGTAAGGTTCTCTCCGTGCGCCCGCCCGTGTGTGCCTATCTCACGTGCGGATGTGGAGCCGGGGTTACTCACTACTGGGCACAGTCGATGAGCTGGTACTCGTTGGAGCGCTCGTAGCAGGCACGCACCCCCTCGTCCTCCCACAGAGCCTTGGCGTGCTCGTAGAATTCCTGAAAGTGAACACGAGAGGGAAGGTTTAGACGCGGGAGCTGCTCCAAGTCAATGAGACCGGAGTTCACTCTGCCACCAACCCTGGGTGTGCTTATTCCCAATTTCGGGGCGAACTCAGGAATGGGCGTTCATAAAGACCTTCAGTGTGCTAAACGTATTCAGAAATTGAATCCAGCCGTCCTCTTATTGTGAATTACTGTTCCTGGGTAGTTTTCAGCCTATAGTTTTTGGAGTGGGGGGCGGGGCCAGAGTAGACTACTGAATACGTTTGCTCACCCAACGGCTCATCTAGGAGAACTAGTAACTCATTAGGAGGCGCCGCCAATGTATGATTCCATGTCGTGGAAACGAGACGTTTTCATTTGTGAAGATGTGGTGGGATCGAAATTTTCCTTCCAGGAAAATTATTTGAATTTTAGAAAAAAAAATATTATGGTTGGGAGTTGCTGGCAAATCCGACCTTGCCCATCAATGCCCGTCGATCAAAAGAGCAAGTGACCTGCGCGGTTCTAAACGGCAGCAGGCCATGATTCGCATTTCATTTGAACAGAATAACATTTTTAATTGTATCGGGGCAATTCGTCCCTTAAAAGGAAAGAAAAGGTTCTTCTGCAATGTGAATGCAGCAAGAAAAGGGTCAAAAGTAGGCAGGAACGTGAAGTTCAGCTAACAGAAGATCCTCTTAAGAGGTCACCGTCCTGGTGTATTTTTAACGGGCTGCCTTTTTTCTCCTATTAGAAATACAGAATCACGTCTCATGAAAGAGTCTGTGTTTGGCATTATGTGTGCTGTGTTTACTGCTCGACTTCTTTTCCATTTAAAAGAATTTACCTAGCCATACTTACTAATACTGCTTCCTTGCTAGGAGAAGTTTGCAGCCAAACCCATTTAAAATACACAAACACAAATTCCCACGAAAGCCTGACAAAAGGCAACAATAAGTCATTGTTTTTGCTGTAGACAAGTCTTTTCCTTCTGGGCCTTATAAACTTGCCCATCTTTCCATCTTGTTTCCTGTTCCCCTCTTATAAACTATTCTTCCCCCACAAAGGGGTCAAAACATATACGCTTGGGCCACAGGCAATCTTGTGTTCCCTAAAAATAGTTCTTTATGGAGCAGACAAATCTTTGTAAGCAGTGTCCACGCCAGCCAGGGTGCATAGAGGACAGTGCCTGGGTTATGATTTATTTAGGTGAAGGTCTTTTCTTTCTTTTTTCTGAATAATGAGAAAAGACTTCATTTGCCCCAAGACAAGGACTGACTTTAGAAAAACCTTAATAAAGGTTAAATGGCAAATTGTTTCAAATGAGAATATCTTCCGTTTATAAAACTCAGAGCTGGCACCTCATTTCTGCATTCCTTGGTATCTTAGGATATTCTCGATTAGCTAGACAATTAGCATTTGTGTGCCATACTTAACAGTTTGTCACAAGATGTGTATAAGGGAATAATTAAGGCTGCCACAACTCATGACTTTTTCTCATAAAGATTTACAGTCTAATACAGCAAGAACTGTAGTACTGAACTGTGATGTTTACTTGTGGGGACGGGCGAGCCAAGACTCACGAGGGGTGACAGAAATTCGCTCATCCATCTTGACCAAAGCTCTAATGATTATTTTTCCTATCAATATCACAGAAATGGGTTTTGCTGGCAGCGTGCCTGTGCGGGGGACATCCCAGGGGGTGTGTGGGGTGGGAAGGGGCACGGGCTTAGCTTACGGGAGGGAAGTCAAAGTCTGGCACGTTCATCACGCTCAGAATGTAGTCCACTCTGAACTGGTTCTCGGGGTTGGCCAGCTCCACAGGGGGCACCAGGTTGCTCATGGCGGCCACGATGGTCTGAAAATGACGGAGCAAAGCGGTCAGGGGAACAGCGCTGTCTGACAGGGAGGCTAAAAGAATGACAAAAAGGACCAGGCACGTACTTCAATGGCCTCTTTCAGGTTGTTTTTGATGTCCTGCACTTTGGTTGCCTTCTCACTACAGTGGGATTGAAAAGGAAAAAAAAAAATCATATTGCATCACGCTGACTCACAGTGTCGCTTCAATCACGATTTTCCAACTAAAATAGTATTCTGTTCTTGAAGGAGTGGTGGGTTCAGATCGGTGCAGAGGTTGGAGGTTCGTGAATAAAGGTGGTTTCAAATGATAACCTCCCAGACTGTGTCCTGAGGACACGCCCAATTGGGGCAGATTACCAAGTCGGCATCTAGATGAGGATCAAGGCTACTGTACCAGAAGTGGGGGCTGGCTCATCACTATTCAGGGGTGCTTCCATTTTCTTGAGGCCCACACCGCGCACCAGCACTTTCGAAAAGGTTCCTACTGGCCCTTGCTAGCATCCCTGCTTTGGGGGTGGGGTTGGGAGGGGGAAAAGTTCAAGGTGTGCCTTGGGGCTTCCTCAGTCACTGGATGAGCACACGGACAACCAGTGGATGAAATGCAGGTGGTGGTGTTAATTACAGATTTGAGGGCTTTGGGGCCCTATTTATTTTTGTTTATTTCAGTAGTCACTGCAGCCAGCAGCAGTGGATGACATTCCTAGTTGATGATGTTAATACAGATCGATCCCTCGATGTGAATAAGGTAAAATAACGTTCTGCCCCCGGAAGGCTTTATGATCTGGGATTTATTGGGGGGAGGGGAGGGAGGCGGTGTGGCTCATGTCCCTCCGTTAAGTAGAGGTTAGCGTTTGTTGCTTATTGATTTTAACTTAGGCACCTGGGACGGCCTGTGTGTAGCTGTGGAACCATCTACATTCAGGGTCCCTGGGACCACAGATAAAGGCCACGCCCTTTGGCTCTGTGGTCCCCTGACGTTGTTTGTCCCCCTGTGTCTTTCAGACACTGTCCTTCATCACAGGCACAGCCAGGGAACATTCTCGGGTTTGTGTTTTTAGGGGTTAAGGACCTCTTGCTCAGGGTGTAAGTCTTGCCACTCTACTGCCCAGGCGTCACCTCTTGGTTTGGGGGGTGGGATGGGGTACTGAACCCACAGCCATGACACACCTACTGCGTATTGGGCCCTGGGATGTGACAGCACCGTCACGAGGACCTAAGGTGCTGTCCTCACAGAGGAGGGAACTGAGGCTGAGGGAGGGAGGGTCTGAGTGACAGAGGCAGGACGACAGAGGGGGAGACAGAGTTTACGTTTTTCTTGCCGGGATTTTTAAAGAAATGTCTTTAAAGAGAGTCCCAATTTCTGACGTATTCACGGGGTTAACTGCCCAAGGGTCGTGCGATGGAGGTAGAAATTAAACACGTAGCCCCTCAAGGCAGAACACGACAGGACATTAATGCGGAGGACACGCGGGGTGGGGGCGGAGGGGGGCGGGTAACAGCAAAGTGCAGCCCAGGGGGGAGGTCAGCATGTGACGTGGGGAGGCGGCTCTCGGGTCGGGGGACCACGGCGGTGGGGGATGGGGGATGTCACGTACTCTCCTGCAAGAGCCCCGCCCCCTCAAGAACCTGGCCTTTCCTTGTATATTCGTTTGAGGGGTGGGCCCTCGTTTTCTGAATGATCTCATCGCATTTCATCCCTACCCCAGGGGCAAACTAGCCTTTGAGACCCCGCCCCTCTCACACCGGAATCAGGAGCTGGTTTAGAGGCGCTGTGCTCATCACGGGCTGAGGGTGTGGGGCGACAGATGGTACCAGAAACCCCCTCATGGTCGGGAGAACTCCACGCACGGATATGAAAGCTGTGCTGCCAACCAGGAGAGTAGGGTCCGTGCCCCAAGCCCCCAGACTCTTAACGCAACGACCCTAGGCTTAAAGGGCGAGTGTCCCGACCCCTCTCTGTGGGGCTATTCTGCTTCGTACGTTTCTGAAAATTACTAATCGTGTCCAGACTTGGTGCTACAGTCTGAATCAGGTATTTAAGACGTTGGAATTTTAAAAGGACACGTGTTTGTCCCTAACGTTCACCCAGGAATTCAAAGTCAAAACCCCATAGGACAAATCCATTCCCATTCATTAGAAACAAGCTCCATTTCCATGGTACTGAGAGCCTTTAACCTGGTTTTTATGGTCCCACCAGAGTTAAAATTAGATATGTCCGGGTATTTAATACCCAGATGACCAAAGAGCAAGAGCAAAGTTATTGCCAGAAACCTGATGCTTTCATTCAGTTTGATATTTTGGTCTAAGTAGTAGTATGTTAATTGGAAAACTTCCAGTCTTAAATACGGATATTCTGAGAACGTGTTCAGTATTCATCTACGTATGTGAATAGGTGTGGGAGTATATCAAGTACAAAACAGCTAAAATAGAAATCTAAAATCTAATTCGGGCGTGTAATACTAAAACATAAAAATTCCTCCATTGAAGCAGTTACTCTGTAGATGGAGCTATGATTCTGGGGGCTGGCAGGTTTATCATAATTTTTACTATCGCTTAATGAACTTAATGTTGATGGTGACATTCGGAGAAAATTCCTCAGATGTCTCTAAGCTACTTAACAAAGCCAAATTGTGTATCAGTTGCTAGAATTCTGATGGACTGGAAAATGGGGGCTGGAAGTACTTATAGGATATTGTAGCTTCTCCCCCACCCCCACCCCCTCCATGTATAAAGCAGATCAGGGCTGCTTTCTACGCTAGGTTTGAATTCTAAGAGCTGCCCACCCCGCTCCCCCCCCTTCAGCTAAGTATTAGGGGAAGGCTATGTCGTACTAAGTTCTATACCTTTTTTTATCTTTATGCCTTTCTTTTTTCCCTTTGGTGGGAAAAGACAGAAGACAGACGCAAGATACAGGGATTGCTGAGACATGCAGATAAGTTTTATTTATCACATATGTTAATACTTATTTCTACTTGTAGAACAGAGTCACAGATAGAAGAGCAGGCTGTTAGTAGGTATTAGAAGGGTTCAGGGGTCTAGCATAGCATCTAGTACACAGTAGGTGGCTCAGTAAAGATGTGTCATAGCTCTCAGATGCCGACTTCTGGTACAGTAAGCTGTCAATCACTTTTTACGTAGATGCCTTGGATAGCTGATACACTACATTTTTGTCAATTAGGGATTCTTTTTTTTTTTTGGTTTTTTTTTTTGTTGTTATCTTTAGAGATTAGGTGGTAGGGCCCCCTCCCCCCTCCCCCCTCCCCAACAGAATAGTATTCTTATTAGAAGTTCCTAAGACGGGCAATTCCAGCATGCAAAGTGTGATAGGACATAGCCGGGAAGATGAGACACTGAAGCCATCATCTAGGGGTATTATTGTCTAAAAAAAACAGATGAACAAACATGTGTCAGTTACTTGGTCCCGACCCCCCCAGTATCCTTTGCCCCTCCCCTCCCAGGCCACAGAAGCTATTTCTTTGAGATGCCCTAGGCTAGGTCAGTCGGCTCTGCATGTTCTCAGGAGAAATAGCTGCTCCCCCACTGCAAGCTGAATAAGCAAAGCAGTGCTCAGAGGGTTACCTGGCATGCGTGTGTGTGCGTGTGTGCGCGCACGCACGGGCGTGATGGGCAGTGCGGATGCAGGAAGTGAAGGAAAAAAATAATTTGATAATGAATGGAAAAAGATGGAGGCCATCATTAATTTCCTGTCCATTAGCTAACATAAAGTGCCTTGGGTTAAAATAAAGTTGACAATTTTAAAAAGACCAGAGGCTTTTCGAGATCATTCTCAACAACGACCTCCCCTCCTCTTCGGCATTTTGTTTTCCCAAAATTAAGGACAGTGTGGCACCACGTATTTTAATAGAGGAAAAAAAAAAAAAAAGCCCCCCCCCCCCCCGAGGTCTGAAATTTAAAAATCAGACCAACCACTAGATAGATGAAATTTAGTAGTTTTAAAAACAAGTAGCCAGTTTTAAAAGTAGCCAATTCAAATGGTGAGCTGGGGGGTTGGGGGGGAGGATAGAAACCATATGGAAAAACATCAATTGTAGAAAAACCCTAAACTGATCGTCTAAAGTCGAAATCTATAGCCTTCCCCCAGCTGGATCTAATTATACTTTAAGGTTGGCCAAAAAAAATTGTTTTGCACTTCACTTGCTCTGAAATGTTAAGAAATGATGCTGTTTGCAGACATATACCAAGATGAATGATGGCCCTTAAATGATTTTGGTTTTCTTCCCGGGTCTCTGTGTCCTCAGTTTCCCAGTATGACCTCCGTGTGTGTCAAATGTGCGTGTGAAGAAGTTTCTCTGTTTTTGAATGTGCCTACCCATCGCTGTTGCTCCTTGCGGCCTGCGGGTCCTCTTCGCCGCCCCTTTTAAAGAGAGATTGAAAGCTCACCTAATCTGCAAGGCACCGTAATTTCACAAAAACCCCACACAGCCTCTCTACATTCCTAAACAAATGGCCACCATCCTCCCGTTAATTCTTAGGTCGCCTTTCTGGCTAAATTGGAATGTCTACTGAGACTACAAGCCGTAGAGGGAAGAATTCCACACCTTCGCTGCAGTATTAGCAGAGTCCTCTGGGGACTCCCGTCGGGTACAGAAGAGACGGATAATTATTTTCTTGTGCTTTCACTAAACGTACATGCATCAGGGAGCTAAAGCAGTGATTTATCTCACAATTCTTTGGAGAATACAGCAGCGCATAAGGCCCCTGATTGTCCCAGACGTCAATCTTCACCATGTTGCATCTGAACACAGACATGGGTGCTTTTGGCCCATGATTTCCTGGTGCCAATATTAATTTCCTCCCTTTTTGTAGTCGGGAAACTACATATGTTATTTCTATATAATTGCTCCCCATAAACTGTCATCAATTAAAAGTGTGCCTGGACCATAAGGCAACAAAAAATAAAAAGAATAAAACCCACCCACTACCACCAACCCTCCCCACCCCCCAAAACCCAATCTTCATGAATGGTAGGAAATCCTCCTTGAAGATGGGACGGGCAAGATGGCTTAAGCTGTCTACGTGGGTTTGTACTTGATTAGCTTATTAGCTCAATCAGTGTTAATGGCGCTTTTTTTTTTTAATGTAAGATAGAGAGTTAGCGTTGTGTTAGGAAAATCCGCATTTGACCTCTGTATTTCTGAAGGTCAGATTAATGACATGTTACTCTGCAGATGTACTTGGCACAGCAGTCTGCGGACGGTTAAGGCAAATGTAATAGCTCAGCCCAGCCCTGACAAAGCGCACATTTATGGAGGAAGGAGGGAGAGACCCTGCACCACACAAAACACCCTTTCGTGGACGGATGTCCCCACTTCACAGGGAATTCCTAGTGGAAAAGGAAACCGCTTTTGTTACAATACCACAGCGAGGAAAAAGAAAAAAGGAGTCTCAGTTGGACAAGATAAAAATAAGGTTTCTAAACTCACGTAAAGAATTCCCCTGTATGTCACTTTCACGGGCTAAATTTAACATCCTCGGAGATTACCTATGGCTTCCTCTACAAAGCAGGCAAACTGGGAATGTCGCTTCCTCTTTTGAAAAAATAGAAAAGAGAAGTTCTGGTTTAAATGCCTCGTCTGCATTACAAACGGGCTCACTTAGGGAGGAGAATCCTTTCCCTAAAAATTAAAAAATTTTAGGGCAATCTGCAGAGTAATAAAACTTTAATTATGTCAAGGATGTCCTATCTTCTATTGGACTCGAGCTAAGGTAAACAGCGGCTGCTGCATCCTTTTAAAAAATTCGAGCCATGTCCAGTTTTAATCAAAATATTTATCTAGAGGGTACATGGTCAAATTATTTTTGCTTAACTAGCCTCATGAAGAAGCTCTCCCCAGCAAGTTGCAGGGGGGAAAATTATGCAAGATTTTTCTTTAGATTACAAAATCATAGCAAGAAGCCTATTTCAGGTTTTTTGTTTTAATTGACGGATGGCAACTCTGGTGGCAAGGCTTCAGAAATTGAGAATTTCAGAACTGGTTTGTGACAAGTGAACTGACTAATTAACAGCATGTATGTGCATATCGGTAACTCATCAGGAGCCATTCATAAAGTTAATAGTCCATCCCTCTGAATTTTAAAGCTTAAAAAGCATCCTAAACTAAAATGTCCATTTGTATGGGTGATGTCATCCTTTTCTCCACCCCCCTTATTTGGTCTAAGAAATTCTAGAATTTTCCATAAAGAGCCTGTTTTCCATAAACTGCCTTCAGCTCAGTTCTTTTACCTCTGAAAGGTGATAAAATTCATCTTTGTCACGCCCCCCCCCTTAGTAGGCGACAGTAACTTTTTTTTTTTAACTGGTTTGTTTTGGGTGCACAATTGAATTAAACTATGCCCCTTTGACTCAATCTTCCCTTTTGAAACCAAGGGGGAAGGCAACTTTCAATTGAATCCAGGTTTAAGAAAGGGAATAGGATTGCTAACCAACTACTAACTGCAAACTAGTGGCTTCAGGTGTTTGTAATCTAGTGAGGTTAACTGCTCTCACCCCCGTGAAAACAGAGTCTGGGTCTGGGGAGACTTGTGCCCCTTATTTGCATCCTTCCTGGCAAGTAGAACGCCATGCCCGTCTTTTACATCCCTGATATAGGCATTCTCCTTTCATCTTTATTCTCACTGCGGTATTGTCACATTGTCCTATAGCAAAATGCCCTGAAGGACTTTTCAAAGGCAAAAGTATCTCTTGGTCTGGCCGGAAGTGCCCAACTCCCAGCCTTTCCATCATTTAAACGTCTCCTTTTTCTTTTCTTTAGGCAAGACCATCGATTTTTAAAAAGGGAAGCAATGATCTACCCATGATAATTCCAAAGGGGGTGAGGGGTGGGGAATGAGGAATTACGAACAAGGGCTGACTCTTCCAACTTAGTTTTATGTGAGAATATTATTGAAACCATGTTTCCCTAGTACTTTACAACATCCTGCACTGGTGCATTGCGCTGAAATGTGCTTGGGGGCGGGGGGCGTCTCTGCAGTGGTCAGCGTCACCAGGCAAAAGGGTGGCCACGGCCAGAGTCAGCTATGTCTGAGACCCACTGCACCAAAATCTGCCGCAGACCCGTCACAGGGCCAACACTGGGGCTTTATTATTATTACTGTTTCGTTGCTGCACCAAAGAGTAAAAGGAGGGAGAGGAGAACAACCCCTGAAGAGCTCTTCCCTGGATTTTCTAACATGTAGGCTGAAAAACTTCAAGCGGACGTTGCCCAGCCCCCAAAAGCTACCTAAACTTCCTAAAGGTTAGTATCCAATGTGTTACTCTGCCTGTGCCCTTGCCACAGATTTGACACTTACTCTCCATTAAACCCATTAACATGCAGGATCCTCATTTGCTTCACGATGGTGCTTTTACCAGATTCTCCAGCACCTAGAAAATGAAAGTAAGTCTCAGGTTAAGAGGGAGGCATTTTACACACTTTGGGCAGGGAGGAGAGAGAAAGAGGACTGCCGTTTTCTCCATAGAAGCAACACACAAAAAACAAACAAGAGACTTGCAATTTTCCTTGACATTTCGACGCAGAGTAAATGAAATAAACATCCAACTTTGTGTGTACCTGCAGTATTCCACCGTCAGAACAACAAACAAGAATGAAAGGTTTTGGTTTGTTTAGGTGTTTTGTTTTCTTTTTCCTTTTGTTTGCCTTAAAATTTGTGGGGCGGGCAAAGGGGCAAAGAAAGAATGACGCAATTCTGTCATGGGAGGGGGGGGTCAAGAAAATTGCTGTTAAAGCCATGAAACTGGATGTTTGAACTATGAGCGTTCACTGGTAAAAATGTACACATTAATGTATACGGCCACATAATTCACTGCTCGTCAGATGTTTCATGGTTAAAATATCCCAGTATTCACAAAACAATGCCCCGGCCCTGCAGGCGCCCCCAGATCACGTACTGACGCAGCGACTGCCTCTTCAACGTTTTCTCAAGGCTGCTGCCTTCTCTGCAGGGTTCTCGCCCCCTGGGCTACTGAAAAATCAACCCCTAAGCCCCATACTATTACATTTTATCCACTTCTCCACGCCCCTCCCCCTTTTCCTGCTAACTTTTGTTTTTCTAAAGATAAACTCTGGATACAACCATGGGGGGGGGACACCATTGATTTGCTGTCACCTTCTCGAGAAACACATTAAAATATTAAATACAGGGCTTGAGAACTACCCTATTAGCATGTTAAAAGGGCAGGACTTTAATCAGAAGGGAAAATATTCCTGGGAACCACTGAATTTTCAAAGATTCCAAGCCCTTCCCAACGAACAGAGCTAGAAGGGGCACGTGCCCCCATTTTAAACCACCTTTCATTTGTAAAAACATATATTTTATGGAAGAAACACAGTTCCACCAAGCTAGAAGGAGGATTGCTAGTTTCTCATTTTCTGTTTTTGCAAATGGATACTCTCTCCAACAACTAACCCTGAGGGGACAATTTTTGTCCTCCTCAAGCACAAACCTGTTTGGTTTTTTAGTTCTCTTTTTCACTTTTACTTTTATTAATTGTTTTGTTTTACTGCCCAGAGAGCAAAGCATTCCTCCTTCTCTTGCCTTTTCACAAGGCTGTAATCAATATCTGTAAAAAGTTAAAATCAGTTTCCACAGAAACATTGATTTCAAAGCAAACATTCTATCTTAATGAGCCTCTCTCATAAATTAAAATATTAAAGGTACGATTAAGAGATTCCATGAAGAGAGTACATAAGTCTTAATCAGAATCTCCAACACTCTCGTGTTCAAGTGTGTATCACCTCTCTTTAGGGGCACAAACAGGTCCGTGCCTCAGTTTCCACATTTAGGAAGTTAGAGAACTGAAAAATTACTGCAAGATCTTTTGTGATACTGTAATTCACTCAGATTTCATATCATTAAATTAAAAAAGAGGATTCTGGGCATCACTACTTTTCCTCTTTTGCGTGGGGGGGCATCATTTGGTGAGAATCACGATTTAAAGATGCAAAATGTGTGGCACTGCCTTGGGCTGCAGACCCCCATATGCCAGAGCCTTCAATAAATTATGGTAATAGGGCTAGGACACCTGGGAAAGGTTAGCCCAGTGATGCCAGGTGTGTTCAGAGCAACAGTCTCAAGTGAAGACTTTGTGATCTCCGTGCAAGGCTGTTAGAAATTTAAGGTACCATTAACATCACACTTGTTTTAAATTAGTATTCAGATAGCAGGAGTGTTCCTAGGAAAGATTCTAGACTTTTCTAGGCTTATACTTTGAAATCAAATTACATGGCACATTAACATTCACATAGCATAGTTCCACCTTTATAAGTTTTTGACGACACCTCAACATACGTACCATTTAATTATTGTAATTGCAAATGCATAAACACACACCAAAGGGACTTATTTTCACTTAATAATTTTCTGCTTTACATAAATCTGGACCCAGGAGAACAAAGACGTGACCCATCCAAAAAAAAAAAAAAGCAAAGCAGACGCCACCACAAAGAAAAAACAGCCCTTTACATTTTATTCTTCATAATCAAGCTGTTCTGTTGATATGTGACCATGAACTAGGTCTTAACCTAGCAAATTCACAAATTAACTCAGATAGCCAAATTACTAAGGAAGTGGAAAACTTCCATACTAATTAATGCTTGTGTAATTCTTCTGGTTATTTCAACAATTTCTTTTATGCTTTTGTTTGATTTTCCCAAAGCAGCACCTTTAAGACAAAAGGGGAAAAGGCCATCTCCTTAGAGTTCACACACCCCCCCACCCGCGTTTTTTTTTTTGGCCAAAGAGGAAAAACCGCAATCAAAAGAGAAAACCCCAAACCAAACAACCAAATGTCACTTGACAAACAACTAATGTAGTCTCATCTCCTTCCACCTGGAAAAAAAGTCTTTTCCTTAAAGCATTCTCAATCCCCCTCCCACCTTGAAAAGGACAAAAAAAAACACGCCATTTCCAGACCAAGAAGCCATTTACAGACAAATGTCATTTTCCAGTTCTGATTTGTGCATGTCTTTTTTTTTTTTCTTTCCATTTTTTTCACAAAGCACTCTCAATGTGGCCGACTAACAGGAAAGTGTGTGTGTGTGTTAATGGTTTGGGGGGGCGGCAGCTGCTACAGTTAATTCTCTTCTTTGCTTTTCAAAGAGCCTGCATATCTGGAAGGGGAAAAAAGGTCATACTGTAAAATGACGTGTCATTTGGCTTCACTGGGCACTTAGAGTACTAACTCCATTTTTTTTTTTTTTTCGGCCTTATTTTATTCGATTCTCTTTCTCTTCCTTCCACGGCCCGGCCCGGCCCGGGACACGTCTGCTCCGCGCACACAGTGTGTCCTGCCCGCAACGCACCAAGTCGCGCCCAGCGGCCGCCGCGCTCCCTCCTCCGCCCGCCCCCCCCCCGTCCGGCGCCACGACTCGCCCGCGCCCCCTCCCCCTCGCTGCACCACCTTTACCACTCCGAGCCCTTCCGAGGGGCTGATGTCACCCGCCCCCACTCTCCTCGGCCACTTCTCCCGCCGAACCTCTCCCCTCGACGAGGCCTCCTCCGCCACCGCGGCGCCCCCCCCCGCGTCACCCCCTTCTCCGCCGTCCCCTCTCGCTTTCTCCCCTTCCCTCTCCCAACAAATCACACACCCAACGGAGGCGGGTCCCCCTCCCTCGGCCCGCCACCCCATTTCCTGTCCCCGAAACCCTCTTTTTGTCGCAGTCTCCCGAGCCCTTTGGGACTCCCCCTCCCCCTCCCCAACACGCACCCGAACCCCTGGCGTCGTGTAGGCCTCGCGGAAAAAGAGAGAGAGAAGAGCGAGGGGGAGGGCGAGAAAGACACAGAGAGCGAGCGGCCTGGGGAGGGGACCCACGCCCGCGTCGCCACGGCCCCCGGACCCATTGGGCCCCCGCCCGGCCGAATGGCGCCCCGGGGTCCCCCTTCCGGCCTCGCCCCCGGGAGACTGAGCCCGCGGGCGGGCGGCGGGCTCGGGAGCGCGCGCCCGGGGCGGGGGGCGGGCTCGGCGCGCGCGGCCTGCGGGGCGCCCCGAGGGGCCCCCGGGCCGGGCCGGGGCCGGCGCCCCCCGCCCCGCCCTTACCCAGCAGCAGCAGGCGGTGCGTGGCCCGGTAGACCTGCTTGTCCTTCTGCAGCTGCTTCTCGATCTTTTTGTTGGCCTCGCGCTGCGCCTTCTCCTCGTTGCGCTGGTCCTCGGTCTTACTGTTTCCGAGGCAGCCCATGGCGGCGGCGGCGGCGGGGCGCGGGGCGCGGCCGGGCTGCGGCGGCGGCGGCGGCGGCGGGGCCGGGGCGCGGGCGGCCTCACGCGGGCGGAGAGGGCCGGGGCAGCCGGGCGGGCGGGCCGGGCGCGGGCTCGGCTCCTCGGGGAGGAGCGCGCGGGGCGGACTGCGGACCGCGCGGGGAGGGTGGTGTCGGTCTGACCGAGCCGAGCGCGCGGCTCCCGGCCCCTCGAGCCGAAGCCGAGGGGTCTGATGGCCGCCGCGGACCGAGGCGGACCAGAGCAGGAGCTGCGGGAGCTGCTGCCGCCGCTGCCGCCGCCGCCGCTCTTATTGCCTCGGCCGGGGCCCCGCCGCCGCCCCGACCCAAAGCTCCGCGGCGGGCGGGGGGAGGCGGGGGGAGGAGGAGGCGGCGGCGGCGAGGGGGGTGGAAGGAGGAGGAGGAGGAGGAGGGATGAGGAGCGGCCGCGGCGGCGGGGAGGGCGGGAGCTGGTGGATGGAGGCGCCCCCCCCACCACGGGTACCCGGGGAGGGGGTCCCTCTGCCCGCGCCCGGGACGGGACGGGCCTGGGAGACGCCCCCTCGCCCCCCTGACTCGGGCCCCAAGCGGGGCCGGCCACGGGGGGAGAGGGGGCGTCTCCGAGCCGGTGACGACCCCTCGCACGACGCCAACGCTCCACCCCCCGGGCCGCGTCGCCCAGCGGCCCCCGAGGCCGAGCCCCCTCCCCCCTCCCGCGGGCGCCGGCGAGGGGCCGGGGTGGGCGGAAGGGGAGGGAGCGCGAGCCAGAGCCCGGACTTAGGAAATTTTTCGAAAAGAAGAGAGAGACAGAGAGAGCTAGAGAGCAGGGAGTGTGGAAGAAGCGAGGCGAGCACGAACCAAAGGACAGAGCAACCGAAAAGGAAAATGTGTCCAAACACACACACACAAATACTCAATAAAACTCCACACTACACAACAATGGTGGTGTCTGGTGGCGGGGAGGGGGCGGAGGTCTGACTAGATGAGCCGCTCCTCGCGCCCCTGGCGCTGGGTGCCATGGCCCGAGCCGAAGGCACCCGAGGTCCCGGAGCGCTCACGGCCTCTGCGCTTGGCCCGGCCGCCCACGAAGGAGAAAAAGGCGCAGCCCAGGAACATTCGGAAGCAGCAGATCGCCCCGAAAAAGAAGCCGCAGCCGCGGCCCTGCTCCGGGCGCTTCTGCAGCAGGAAATCGAGCACCCACGCGGGGCTGCGCACGGAGAGGACCGGGAAGGTCAGGAGCGGCAGGTGGGCGCTCAGCGCGCTGATTTTCAGCAGCCCGGACCCCCACACGGCGCTCCTGAAGCCCCGCAAGGCGTCGAATAGGTCGTCCTCGTCCTCGTCGCTCGAGTCCGTGTCCCACTCGATCCAGATCCTACTCGTGGCCCCGGCGCCGGCGCCCACGCCGCCCCCGCCGGCGCCCTCCGCGGCGCCCTCGTCTGCGCCGCCGGCGGCGGTAGCGGCGGCGACCTCCAGGCCTTGGGCATCCTCCTGGGCTTCTGGCACCTTCTTCTTCTTCTTCTTCTCCTTCTTCTTCTTCTTCTTCTGCATCTTCTCCAACTTCTTCCTCTCCTTCTCCTTCTTCTTCTCCTTGTTTCTTCTCTGCTCCAATAGCTTCCTCTCGATCTTCCGCCGCTCCTTTTCGGTCAGCAACTTCTCGGAGGGCGCCTCTTGCTCCGGCTTCTTGCGGGGCTTCTCGGTGTCCCCTTTCTTCCGCGGCGCGCGCGGCTCGGCCAGCGCTGCAGCCACCGCCGCAGCTTCGGCAGCCACCTCGGCCGCAGCCAACGCTGTCTTCCTCTCGCTCTCCACCGCCCAAGCTTTGATCTTCATGGCCATCTTCAGCATGGTGGCTCGGCCACCTCGGGGTGCTTGGCTCTCGCCTGGCCCGGGCGCCCTGCTTGCCCCCGGCCTCGGGCTGGCTGGACCCCGTGCGCCCCGTGTCGGGGGAGTCGGCTGCGATCCCCGCTGCGCTGCCCCGGGGCCGCGGAGCGCGGCTGCCGGGCTTCGTTCGGGCTGCTGGGCTGGCTGCCTAAGAGTTAGCGCCAAAAAAGGGTGAGCAAACGAAAAAGGGGCGAGAACAAACCAAAAAGCACCCAACAACACGAGAAATCAAAAAGCAACAAGAAACGTCAAACAACTCAAAAAAGAAAAGTGCAGAGGCACGATGGCACAAGGTTGCTGTTACCCTCAGGCGCTCCTTGGTTAAGCTCTTGGGCACGCCAATGGAGAAGAGAAAAGAGAAGAGAGAGAGAATTGGGGGGTGCCCGGGAGGCGCGGGCAGGGCGGCAGTGCTGGGGCGCCCCTGCCCCGTCCCGGCCCCGGTGGCTATTTCCCCGCGCCGGGCGACTCGCACTTCCGCGGGAGGCCACGGTGCCCCCGGACTTACATGTGAGTGAGGTGCACTCACACGCAAGGCAGTGCCTGCCTGCCTGCCGGCCGCCCGCCGCCGCCCCGCGCTGGGACAGGGGTTCGCTCCAGCCGCGGCGCCGCAGCCCGGAGCCAGAGAGCCTGCGAGCCAGAGAGCGAGCCGCGCCGGGCCGGCCACCTGACGCAGCCCGCTCCGCGGTGCCGACGCGACTGAGTGTCCCCGCTGGAGAGCAGCGCTCCTAAGCAGCCCGATGACGCCCCAGCCTCTTCAGAGGACGGACCCACCGTGGCGGCCCCTATAAACCGAAGGGGAAGCCGAAAAATCGGCCCGCCGGGGACGCGCCCAAACGGGCCGCCGCGCACCCCGGAGGTACAGGCCGGTGCGGGGGCCACGCGCGAGTGGGCGCGGGGCGCGGGGGACGCGGTGGCGGGGGCCGAGGGGGCGCCCAAGGCGGTGGGCGCCGGACCCCGCCTCCCAGACCTGCCTCCCAATTTTCGGTGAGTGGTGTAGCCCTGGGCGGCGTGCAAAGTGTGCGACGGCGGCGCTTACCCCTGCTGCGCGCCTCCTTACCTCCAGCTTCCCGGTTAGCGCGCGCGGGGACCGCCACCCACCCCTCCCTCCCGGCGGCGCGTGCCCGGCGGCGGGTCGTCCGATGAGAGGTGTTATGTGAGCGCGAAAAACGAGCATCGCAAGAGCAAGCAGGCGCCGGCGACTCGAGAGCCGAGTGGTGGTGGCCGGGGCCGCGAGGTCTGCGCCCCCGGAGTCCTCCTGGGCGGGACAGGTGGCGGGTCAGGGCGTCCCGGTTATACGAGGCCGGTCCGGGGTGCCGCGGGGGGATGCTCTGGAACAGATGGAAAAGTAGTTTATTGAACACGAATTTGTTTGAGAATTGTTTAAAGACTTTCAAGTGTCCCACCCCAGCCCTGTCCCATATGAGGATGCGGTACAGCGTGGTGGGTGAAGAGCAGTCACACCAAGTTCTCAACGACTCGGCCGCGGCTCACTTTTCCTGGGACCTTGGTTGAGTCTCCTGGTTGAGCCCTGCGCGTGTCTGCTTGGGTACAATTCATTCAGTCAATAAAAGTTTGGTCCGTGCGGCCCACCTTGGGCCCAGGTGAGTCAAGAGTAGCCCAGCCGTCAATCTAAGACTTGGCAACTGCCTTTGGTGGGTCGCGGCTGCCTGCCGGTCAACCCCAATCCATAAAGTAGTCGTGAACTCTCTCCCCGCCTTTAACTTTCTTTCACTTCGAAACAGTAAAACTTTGGATGTTTGGGGGGATAGAAAGAAAGGAAGAGGCAGCCTACTTGTAAATGGAAACACAGCTAACATACCTAGGGGGTGGGGGGATTGTTCGGTTTGGTCAGAGGCCTTGAGTAAACTGTCCAAATAGTGTTGTTTTCTTTGAAAATAGACACTGTTAACCATTCAACGGGACTGCTGCAATCCCCCGCTTCTCCTCAGTTTGCTCAACTCAAAGTAAGAAAAGTTGTGTCACATGAAGATGTCAGCTATTATTGTTCTTGGCCCCATTCAGTACACCTCTACCCCCCTTCTACAAGGCCTCACTTTATGGACCTGAAAGACAGCGGAGGGCAATTCAAAGCCAGCAGACAACACTTGGAATTAAGAACAGGAAGCGAAATCTTCACGCCAGACCCTCATGATCTACAACTGCTACCTCGCCTGACTGCGGCTCTCAGACTCTCTCGAACTCTGCAGAAAAGTCGCTGTGCTTTGCCCTTTCCTCCTCACATCCAAGTAAGCCAGGTCTTGATCACACTCTGGATATGGTCTCTCCTTCTTACACAAAAATGCACCTTCTTTCGACAAAAACTCAAAGGAACTACCGTTCGTCTAAACAAAAGCCGATAAAAATATTTACCCTATAGACGGGGATGTTCTCCTAGGCAAATTCGACAGTAAGGCTGTTTGCAAAGATCATGACACAATCATTCACCAACTAGACTAGAGACTACCTAAAGACGGGGCCCAAGTTTTATACCTTTATATCTTAAATAAAAACCTGTTGGTTGAATTTGATTAATCAACTGATGGTCATTTTTAAAAATTGGTGAAGACTTATAAGGAGGAGGAATAGGCCAGAAATTTTTGTTCTTCTCCATTTGTTCCAAAGCATCTTTCCTTCCTGCTTCTAATGTGGCAAAGCGCAAATACATCGTATTTAAGAGCAAGAAGGAAAATGGTAACCAATACAACCTCGATACTTATGCCAGTAGCTACACATTACTACAATGAATATAATGAAGGCTCCTTATTTGGAAATCCCTGAGTTGGGTTACCATCTCCCCCCTTTTAGATAAAGATCACACCTGAACTTTGAAAGGAGTGAAGCTGTCCCATGTCATATACTGACATATATTCCAGGCAAGGCACAGTCGGGACTACTGTCCTAGAATGAATAAAGCAAGGTCTGGCTTCAGTCATTTCAACTTCTAACCTGGCAGGCCATCCTTGAAAAAAAAAATTTTGTTAAGTGTAGGTTTCAGCTATATTTTATTATGACCAACCACTGATGGACAAATAAAGCATTTACTTTGTAAATAAACGACAGCAGGTGGAATCAAGGGTTTACAGGTAAGCAAAGGCCACTAAGAGCTCTGAAACACAAGCTCGTTTGCGGTCTGTTCAGCTTTCTGTTTTCACCCGACACAAAGTGAAAGATGAGATTTTTACTTAATTGGCGTGGTGAGCTGATACCGTCTACAGTTTTCAGTCTAGCATTTGACCTACCTGGGCCTTAAACATTTTAATAAAAATTAAAAAAAAATAAGGCTCTCAGGTTTGGAGGCCACCATGCGTGACCTTTTCATATGAATTAGTAATTTATTTTAATAGGTTGTTACCATTTTAAGCGCCTGGTTTATGCTTTGCGAGTGAGCAATCCATTAGCATAATTCTTGGAACAGTCCAGACTCTAGAGTTTTCCAGTGGAAGGGGCCTCTTTTTTGGCTCAGGGAGAGATGGAAGTTGTGGAAATTTTAATCTCCAGAGAGGGGCAAAGGGCCAGAATGTCCTGGGTGTAAAATGCCTGGTTCAGGTGACTTGCTTCATGCCAAAGCCAGCAAGTTGGGATAATAACACAACCGTAACCTAAAGCACTAGGTCACCTCACGATACAACTTGGTAAAACAGATGGGGGTCCCACCACTATACACAGGGCCGGCCTAGCAAAAGCTCTTTCCAACAATGCAGATTTTACAACAATGGATGGATTCGCATGTCATGTCGGGGTTTGAATTTTGTGGTCTTGTAAGCTTCATATTTATGGGTGGATGTGTTCCCTGGCTCTTTTGCACCTTCCTGTCTGAGAAAGAATGCCTCGTCTGCTCTTAAAAGAAACGGACTCGTTATTGCTTAGTATCTTGAAAACATTTTTACACTTAATGATGTAATTCAGTTTTTGGACAAGGGTGTTCTTTTTGGCCTTTCATTAGATGGGGTCACTGTAAGATCCCAGAGAAAACAGAATTATAACATTATTTTAATAGCCTAGGAAACAATAAATAGGTTTCCACTGAAACAGAAACCTTAGCTGTAAGGTTTTAATAATAGCGCTTAGCACTTCAATGGTGCTTTCTGTCTTTAAAGCACATTTCGCACTTTATTTAATTAGAATTACTGAAATTGTTGCAAATGAATGTGGCTTGAAGCCTGCACGATACCGATGAGGAAGCAGGAATTGTAAAAAGCGTTTTCCTAGTTCCAGTTAATCCCCGGTGAGAAGGTTCTATTACTTAGGACCATAAAATTCTTAAAAATCTAATGTAGTGATTACCTAGGGCATTTTTTTTTTCCCTTGTCATATTCACTAGTTAATAATGGCAACCACAAAGTAATCCAAAACTGGCATTCAGAACTAAACATGGTGCTCAAGTTAGTAAAACTTCATTTCAAAAGCCCTGACATTAAGGGACTAACTAACTACAAGGCCATATGAAATCTCCCGATTTAATTTCTATCAACTAATTTTAAAAATAATTTGTTTTTAATTTAGAACATACTCGAATCCAAACAAAATATAGGGGCACATTGGCCAATGTGTTTGGACCCAATTTCTTGAGCCAGTGGCTTTGAGATACCAATCAAATGTCTACTTAAAACCACAGTTCACAAAACGAGGGCAGCTGGGACTTCTGTGCCTTTATGGATCTTCCTTGACTTTGACGTGTGGACACCATCGAAGAGAGAAACTTCCTGGTCTCCATGGATGCCCGGTTCCCAGGACGATTAGTGCCCTTCTCACAACATCCCCAGGAGCCCCAGAGTAAGTGGGAGTGGACTTTTACCAAAGCCACCATCTACTTTAAAAGGGGGAAACAATAAAGTAGAGACTACGTGCATTACAATGTTCCTTTTAAAAACTTAAACCTAAATAATATGATACATATGGTAGCCTTGAAAAGATTCTAGATGGATAATTTGGATTAGGGGGCTTACTGACATCAACCACAGACCAATGGACCCACTTACTGGAGATCTTGGGGCGGGGACAAAAAGATGTAAATTTGTTACCACTCTATAGCAGGAAAGTTACTTTTCCTAAACTAAAATACCTTTAGCCTCCCTTGGGGGCAGGATTTCACGAGGACTAAGGTGATGGGAAAGCCTGTTGCTTAGAACTTTTAATTTGGCCTTGAGGATGGGAACTCATCCAGGATGGGGAATAATGCAGGGAGGACTAGTTAAAAACAGGTGCAGGTCAGCTAACTTTTGTTTTTATTTACAAGATGCCTTATTTAAATGACATTTTGATCCAACATCTTACTTAACAAGTACCAACAGGAAAAAACAAAACAAAAAGCAAGTTGGCGCAATCAAGAGAGTCTCAAAGTCCTAATAAGATCTCTGTAGATAAAAGAAGCTCTTTAATTGCTCTGATTTTAAAGATTTTACTGTTTTTTTTTCTTTTAATTGCATTCAATTCTTCAAACTTAGCCCCATATGATTAAGAGTTCAGAGCGTTAAACACTCTGGATGAATCAGGTAATAAATTTCCTTTCATTAAATGCTGCTTTGTGTATACATATATACATAGGAAACAACTGCTAAATACAACTTTTACATCTTGGGGTTTTACTTTATTTACCTACCAACCAAGCATGGGTGACCGTTTTCAAACAGGCTTGCACTTAGTTACTAGCCTCAGTTTGGGACAAGTGAGATTCTGACAGGGCTGTAGGTGTCACCTGCCTTCGTAGCTGAACCCTCCTCTCTAAACCCACTTCCGTCTGCTGTTGGTAAACCCGGAATTAAGCAATTAATGGGACATAATTAGTCACACGTTTAATTTATCTAAAAATGTAGGTACCTTTTCATCTGTCTGTGTTTACCCACACACGTTGAAATTGAAAAACGTGTAATTATAGTTTAGCTCCACCCCTTTCCCCGGGTCTTTATTTTGAGGGGGCACAAATGCTTGGCTCCCAGAGGTTGAAGGGCAGCCTCCTCCTTTGCACGTGGCTACACATAAGTCCCAGCCAGAGGCTGTGCCCGCCACTCCCTCCCTCACTCAGCACTTTATGGAAGGCTTGGCAGCCCGCACAGCCCCCTCCCCGACAAGTCAGGAGCCCACTCGACTCAGCGGAGCCCAGAGGGCACTGTGGCTTCCTAAGGTCTTTGCCGACCTCTGGAAGTTAGGAGGAGAAGACTATCCAGCCAAAGCATCAGACATTTGCAATCAGTCTGGGGATCAGATGAAAAGGAGATGTTTTTATGAGCTACAGACCTCAGCTTTACCCGCACCCACGTCCCGGGGTCTCTGCCCGCCGCCCAGAAAGGGGAAAGAGGCCTCTGCCCGCTTTCTCCAACATTCCTGTCTCTCAGTCGCTTAAGTCTCTACTACCTTCTCAGATTACGGCTCCTTTTGTGCTAATTACACTGAAAAAATTGAAAGAATGTCGCTGACTTTACAAAGAACACAAAGCAAGGCTTGCTTTAAAAACTAAATATAGCCAATTTCTTTCAGAAGGCAGACAACTCAGCTTTCAAATGATCTGTACTATGTGGATTAACTGCAGATGGACAGTTATGAAGACCCAGGTAACAGAAGGGAGGATACATCTAACATGTGTGTTGCTCCGGGGGGGCCATTTACATGAAATCCCAAATCTGGTTAATGATCAACTTTCCCCACCCCACCCACCAGCACTTCATTGTAAATTAAGACTTGCCACAGGGACTTCCCTGGTGGCACAGTGGTTAGGGCTCCGCGCTTCCACTGCAGGGGGCGAGGGTTCGATCCCTGGTTGGGGAACTAAGATCCCACATGCTGTTCGGTGTGGCCAAAACTTAAAAAAAGAAAAGAGAAGATTTGTCAATGATGGCAGACTAATATAAGCTACCATGAAAAAGGAAAGGGATGGAATGCCAATGTGTAGAAAGCTATGTATTACGCAGGTAAAAATATAAATGAAAGGAAAAGAAAGTCTAACTTCTCACTCTGGGAGGCTGTGGCTGCCAGAGAATGAGAGGATGCTGTTTCTGCAGCTCCTGTTCGCCATTATATAAGAAATGGTCTTTTAAAAGGAGAACTGGGAAGTGTCCGTTACTGGCCAAGAAAACTATGGATGACACCCCCGCCCTCCCTCTATGAAATCCTCTAAGGGTTAATAGGTGAACAGTAGCAGCTTGGAATGATTTATTTTTCTAAGGAACATTAAATACTGAATTGCTCATGCTGAAATAATGCCACAGCTGTGACCCTTAGGGCTGAATTTTGGACACCGGCACAAGTGACAGGTGTGCTCGATGTATGCCCAGCTTGGCTGAAGTGATGCCTAACTCAAGTCACCCCCTGCTCACCCCCCCCCCCGATTAATTGGTGGGGACTCTGGAGCCAGCCAGGAAAGGGCCTTTTGCCACGGAAGACCATGTGTGCTCAGCCGTCAACAAAAATGCCAGCCTTTGAGGGGGATGGAGGCCCTGCTCCCTGAATAGAAAACAAGAAAATCAAGACAGACCTCAGAAGACAGGGGAAAGAGGAAGTGGGAGCTGAGAGGTCTGATCAAGATCAGACCCTTCTAGGTTTTAAAGCAAACAGATCTGTCCTATAATTGGCTCTTGAAGGATTTTAGCAAACGAAGCAAGCCCAGGATTCTAGGAAATGTGTCACCAAAATTGGTATTATTAGAGGAAGTGGCACAAAGCTAGAAATACAGAGTCTAATCTGTAACATACTAATTACACCTATTTTTATCCCAGGGTTGCAGTGACCTAACACCAAGAAATGAAAACTCTAGAAAACTAGCCCTTCACGTATACAAGACATGAACACCCTGAGGGCAGGCGCCACAGGGCAAAGGTTTCACTGAGTCCTTTAATCTGACCTGGGGTTAGAAATCAGCAGTCACGAAGGTAGCCAACTTTCGAGGGAACTTGGCAACAGTGGAGGAGGGCCAGTGAGGCTCCAGACCAAACCTTGGGAGCTCCGGTATGAAGTCAGCATGCTGGTAAGAGGACAACTCTGGAATGTCAAAGTCCGGCCTGAGCAAAATGCCTACGGGGTGTCCTGGTCTGCAGAGGGCAGAAAGAAAGCTCTGCTGAGCCGAAAAGGAGCCTAGATGAAAAAGCTTGCGTTGGTCCATCCCACCAGCCACACAAAGGCCCTGATGCCAGATGGCTGACGGACAGAGAACCACCTCCAAAAGTTGACAGATCTCCCACTTTGGGGACTGGTTCCAATAAGGATGCTTCTCACTATGATGGCTGAAGGCATCAACCAGCTTAAAGCAGCATTAGGTTTTTTGCTTCCTTATCCTGAAAAGACAAATCTCTACCTTCTGAGTACCAGGACATTTTCATAATTGTACTCTCCGCTTCAAAAAGCCTAGCTGTGAAAGAATCTTTCAAAGGAAGTTGATATAAAACTTAGTCGGGACCCAAAGACATCTAATCTGCAAGTTAAATGGATATTCCATGCATTCATAACCATTCAAAGCATCCTAGTGTCTAGAAAAACCTAACTGACCCCATCCTATCATGATGTTATTATTAACCCGGGCCTCAGGGGGGCGCCCTAGAGCAGGGGAACTTAAAGTCATGCTCAGCCTTAAAAGTGAATTTCTTAAACGGTTTTCTATTAGTTAAATCAGTAATTAGTCTAAATACATCATTTCAGTAATCTGCCATGAGTCAGTTGAATGCAAAATGGGGGGAAAAACTGTGGGCTAACTAGGGTGATCCCCAAGGATACAATGTTTTAATCTTAGATATAAGATAACTTTATATTTCATTTGCCTTGGACATTCTTAAATGTGTTAAATAGATGTGTATTCCTCAACCTGGCATAACTACATATCCTCTAGATTTACTGAGCGTACAGAAGGCAGACAGGGCAACTTTGTGGAAAAAAAAAGAAGAAGAAAGAAGAAAACTAAAGAATAGAACTCTACAACAAAAATGTAGTTTCTAAAATGGATGCCAAAGTAGAAAAGATATTGAGAGAAAAATATATGTGTATTTCAGCAAAACTACAAACACACCAAAACAGGTACCAGCAGCATGAAAACGCCAGGGGAACAAACCAAAAAAATCACTCTAATTTATAGTAACTGAACCCTTGGCTTTACCTTCCTCCCAACACCTGATAATTCTGTGAAATCACCCAGCTGTCACTCTTTTCCTTTTAGAAACATGACACTGATTTGTCTTTATTAGAATTCAGAGGTCTGCTTGATGGGGCCCCTAATAAATGTAAGTCATCATCACTTCTTGACCTTTTTTCCCGGGAAATTCTCGGTACGCGGTTAAACTGCTGAAAACATATTTGCAAGGTTCTGTGACTGTAACATAAAAATAAAGGATCAAGGCTGGGTGGCTTTGGAGGTCTGAGCACATCTGGGCTCCGCCCTGCCTGCACCCCAGAGGGAAAATAACGCAGATCGATTAGAAACAGCATCTGGGGGTAATAGCAACGCTCTGCTTTGGGCTGAGCTGTCTGCAAATAGGAATGCTCTGCACAAGACTGAAGTACAGGAGGGGGTGTGCCAAGGAGCCCTTGCCCCTTCCTCTGCCCCTCCTAGCGTCCCCTTCCTCCCCCACCTGCCTGGCTACTGAGTGCCTTGAAAGAGCAGGAAAAAACCCTGTAGCCCAGAGAGCCTCAATTAGCTATCCACATGAGAAAGAAAGAAAAAGATTGATGACGGAGTCCTAGTTATGGTGACTTTGAGATAAAAGGATGGGGGGCGGCTTTTCCAAGAAACTGAATCATGACGCTTTTTTTTTTCTTTTTCTATAAAAGCAACACTTGTCGTCCTTATTTGTTCACTGGCTGCACTGGGCTGGTGGTACCCTAAAACAAAATGAGGGCAGGTGGTCTCAGCCTTCACCACATCCTAAGATGGCCTCAGGCACCAGACAAATCTAGACCCTGACCGTGATGTTGCCAAGAGCCTAGTCATAAAGACTCCCCTCTGCACGCCTGCCTGTAAAGACTGGTGTCCCTACCTCCCCTCTACTGCACACTTCAGATGGCCACTGCAGAGAAAGCGAGAGGGTCTATGACATCTTATTCGTGTCCCCTCTACTTCCTCATTCCTCAGAGAGCAGAGGAACGGCTTCTAGGTCTGGCTTCTAGGTCTGTTCCCTCCAATTCCTAAAAATAAGTTTCCCTACAGCACTGGGTTGGGGGGATGTCAGGGTAGGTGGTCAGATAAGCTGTTTCTCAAATATTTGACAAACCGGCTGTCTGTGGACAAAACAACCAGTTGCTTTTCCATGATTGAACTTTCGACCAAATTGATTGGATGCTTTGGTGTCAAGAAGACAAAAACTCAAGTCAAAAAGATCACCAGAATAGGAAATTGTGGGCAACAAAAAAACAACAACAAAAACCAACCAAACAAAAACCATACTACAGTAGGAAGCATTACTTTTTCTAGCAACAAAAATCTGAGTTTTCAGGTTGTGCTAAATGACTCAAAATTCGCCAGTGAAGAGACGGCAGAGAGAATGGATTTTTTAAAAGGTTATACTGTTCCTATTTATTTGGCCTCGCTGCTGCCAGAAAGTGGCTTGGAGCCCTCTTTTTTAGCACTCTATAAAATGTAAATGGTCTAAATTAAGAAGCCATCTAATCTCAACCAATATTAATTCTGACATGAAAAATGAGACCAATTCTTCAAACAGGATTATGAGCCCCACCACCCGACATTAACCGATCACCTCACCCTGTTTCTCAAAGAACGGGATATTTTCCTTTTCCAAAGTGCCTATTTATTTCTAAGACTGGATCAAAATCCTCACACACTTTCCTTATTCCGACATTGAAAAGGTACAGCCTCCTAATGTGGGCTGCTTTGACACCCCCCTCACCCCCAACTCAGCAAGCTTTTTTGTCTTATTTGTCTTTTTTTGTGTTTTTTCCTCCAAACTAAAATCCCTCTAAAATATCTAAACACCCCAACGGTCGTAAGTTGGGATGCTGCCCCTTCCTCCTTGCAGACTGAACTGCCGGCTCCTAAAATTGTTTTCCAAGCAGAAAAGGGAAAACTGAGAAAAATAAAGATTTTTTTCCCCTCATGTTTTCTCCTCAACCGGTCCATTGAAATCAGCAGGATCACGGTTCCTCCGTCTATGCAGCAGGCAGAATCACCGTGCGTCCAGATAAAAGAATTTGCCTTTTGGCTGGGCTCAGATGGGGACACTGCAGTTTTTCTAGAAAAAGGAGGCATCTCTGTATCCCTGCAGTACCGCCTCAGCATCCCAAGACCCCTACCCCTTCCCATAAGATCTCGCAGATGTTGCATTTGGCTTGTGAATCCTCTTGGTAAGTGCAAGAAATAAAGTGGCTTTACTCGGAAATGTCCATCGTTCACCTACCGCACAAAGCCCTAAGTCCCTGCTGTTTCATTATCCTCTACCCGGTAGTAATCATCAAAATCAGAAGGGCCTCCAGCAGCACGATGATTCAGTCAGGGGCATAAGGGATCCCAGGAAAATCACGGATTGTTTGGGAGAACTTGCCACATAGAGAGCCTCCCTGGGGAGAGGGGAATAAGGCCCCTCGGTGTTTATTGCAAGGCTGCGGGGTGCTCTCTCTGGGCGACATCACTTTTAACAGAGACATCGGGTAATTTAGTTACACAAAAGCAGCGGAGGTGAGCAGGGTCAGATCATCTCTCCTGTTCTGTCCTAGAGGCTCTCCAGCAGCCTGCACTTGGTGTTTGCAAGGCATGAAGGGGTCCTAAAACGGAGGAGGGGGCTGAAATAATGCACCTTCTATGCCTTTTTGTACCCCCCCCCCCCGCTCCCTCCATCCCTGGGGACCCGCGGGCAATGTGGATGCATGTGGGTGCTTTCTTCCTCACATTCCCAAGCCCAGGAGCTAAGGCTCTTTTCAGCTGAGAGACACTGCCAGCACGAATCCCAGGGCCACCTTCAGGGGCTGTTAGCAGCCCAGTTGGGGGCGGGGGTGGGTGGGGGTTCCTGAGGGCTCAATGTCTAAGGTCAACGCAGGGTGGGGGGAAGGGGAAATGGGCCCTTTCCCTGATTCTCGCTGGAGCTGAAAGAAACTGATTAAATCTGCTTTCCACCTCTTTTCCCATCGCTAAAACGCCGCCTCTGCCCTCAGAACAGCAGCCCCAGGCCTGCAGGGCTCTCTCTGGCCTCCTCTGCAGCTCCAAGGCCCTGGAATGGCCATTTGAACCAAGCACCTGACTTAAAACAAAAACAAAAACAAAAAAAAAACAACCCACCATTTTCAAGAATGAGACGTACGGCCACTGAAAACCCCTCGGCTGCTTTCAAAGCCGATGGAGCAGAACACAAGCTAGACCCCCCCCCCGCCCCACCCTCCAAGGCTCGGGGTTAAAGTCACAGCTCACCCCACAGAGGGGAAGGGGGAAGCCGGCACCCAGCAGCTGGCTAAGTTCTGCCCTACCGGCCCTTCCTATGCCCGGCTCACCCCTGCCTGCAAACAGCGGGCCTGACCGGCGCAACGGGGACCGGGACCCAGGACCGTGCGGGGGGCGCTTCCCTCCCTCCTTCAGTGTATACATGAGCCCGCGGTGACAGCCCGCTTTGCACTCCACTCGCATCTCTTTCAGAGCCCCCTCCCCTTCCCCCCACCACAAGCCTCCTCGGTAAAAAACCAAAAACCATCTTGTTCTTTCATCATAATTAAAGTGCTGTCAGGGAAAATGGCATGGCTGATTTTTGCCGCAGCTGAAATGACCCTCTGCTTTCCTCTCCTCTCATTTGCTAAAGTGGTCCTTTCTCTGCCTGAAATCAGGCCCTTTGGTGATGGAAATTTTAGCAGGAAGCAGAGAGTTCTAAGCAGAATCCTAACCTTGGGAGGGTGGGGAGAGAAATCGATGTTTTTGGAGCTGGCCCCTCTGCGGCAGCAGCCTAGGTGCTGCAGGGCTATCCTCCCGGCTGCCGCAGCCCTCTGCTCCATCCACGCCCGGCTCCCTAATTACCAGACATTGTCAGGGGTCGCAATTTTGCCACATTTGGAGGTCGATTCTCCCCGTTGACTTATCTAAAGGGCAGGAGGAAGCTGCTTGGAAGGAAGTAAACAGGTTCTGGATCTGGGAAGATAAAATCCAAGCGCCTTCCTCGCTCGGAGGGAAAGCGTGACTGCATATTTAATATCCTCGCCAGCCTGCGTGTTTGTGTTTGAAATAAAGCTATAACTTAGACGCATAATGAAATGCCCTCCTCCTCCCCGCCGAGTGCTACCGAGCCCCTGGGTGACACTCCTGTCACGGCCACTGCAGTGCCCCGGGCTCTCTCTGGCAATGGCATCTCATCTCATTTTGTGAAAACGTCACTCTGTCCTGTTAGCTATCAGAGAACTTTCTAAAAAGGACATTTCAGGTGAGCAATGCAGTAATGTTTAAGGGTGAAAAAAAAAGAAAAAAAAATTAAAAAGAAAAGAACGAAAAGGAACCCAGGGCCCTGAGTACTTTTGAGCTGTGCCTTTGGAATCCATGACGTATTATTCAAACTCGTATCATGTGAGGAATTCATAATATTCATCCCAGCCTTCAACTACTTCGATTTTAAGGAAACATTTCAAAATTAACTTAATTTCCTTTTCCTAAATATCATGCATCTTGGAAAGGCCCCTTCTGAGTTTCACTGGGGAGCTTAATTGGCAGGCTTCCGGGTTTCTAGAAGGGTATGCTAATATCTGGCAAGTCAAAATGGCAATCCAGGCCTCCCTCAATTGAATCATTAGTTGTTAACGCACCTCTGAGTAACTCCTAGCTCAGGTGTGAAACCAACCCAAGTGTCACTAAAGCACCACTTTTTCCTCGGGCTGCAACGCGGGGTGGTGGGGCTGTTTATGTAACACGCCAGCAGCAACCTTGTTTGTGCTGCTTCATTATTCGCTGGCCTGGACTCCTGCCTCCTTGCTCCTTTCTCCCCCCAACCCCCGACTTTTTTTTTTCCCCCCTTTTTAGAGAAAGCAAAGCAGCTGTATAGTACTCAAATCTTTTATTTCCTGACTATTCTGTGTGTCAGAGCAGTGGACGCTGGAGAAAAACATGGGGCTTGTTATCACCGGCCTGAGCCGGAATGAGTCAGGCACCCGAAGCTTCCATCTGGACCTGACTCTGCCATTCGGATGGGGGCTCCCTCCTACCACCCACTAAGCTGTACCTGGAGAGCTGGGGTGGGGGAGAAAGTCCTGGGGTCACGGGAGCAGGGGAGAGGGAGACAATTCACTGCACTGGGGGTGCACAGAGCTGGGCTGGGGAGAATGCGGCTCAGGTGTCAACTGCCCTAACGCCCCCTCCCCTGTCTTCCTCCACCGCCTCCTGTTAGAATTCTATTCCACTATTAAAAATGCGACTCTCTCAGCTTCCTGGCCTCGGAGAGCTCTTTATTAAAATGCAAACGTCCCTTAAGTAGCTCCGTGAGCCTCTGCCGGCTAATGGGATTAAGTGAACAGAACACAGCCACCTGCAGGGAGGTAAGGAGGCCTGGGGGCCAGCCCCACCTTCTCAAATTTGCCAAAGGCTCATCCCTGAACAGGCAGAAAGCAAAATTCAGCCTTCCCCGTCTCAGATGTCTTTGAAAGGGGACTCTGTAGCCAGAGCCTGAGTCCCAGCAGTGGGATCGTTTGCTCACTGTAATTCTTGGCGCCCTGGTGGCCCCATCTCTTTCCAATCATTTCTCTTAGGATGGACATCGTTTTCAAGGTATCCTAGCAGAGTGGTCCGGATTCAAGAGAGGAGCATCAGGCCAGCGGTGGAGAAGTAATTGCACATAACTAATTCATTTACAGAGGCAGCCACTTGTAATAAAGGACGTTTTCAAAGTGACTTGGCAAACTGATTTTTTTTCCTGAGCTGGTAAACAAGCTTCGCTTTATGCCCTGAAAATGGGTTTTCCCTCACATTGATTTCTTAGTGTGCCTCTCAGGTGAAGGGCACGAAAATGTCACAAACAAGGAGAAGCCCAAACTTAATAATTCTGTAAACCTGAATTTTACTCGTGGAATCAAACCAGTCCCTGTCGTCTGGGAGTTCCTTCAGTTCAGTAGCCCTCACAAAAGCACTTCCCTCATCGTATAGCTAAAATAAAAATTCTCCATCTACCTATCTGTACACACACATTTTATAAAAATCACATACCATATGCTGAGCATTACAGGAGACCTTTAGATAAAACGACTCTTCCAAGGCTACTGAAGAGATGACTGAAAAGTTTGTGAAAGAAAAACTGGAAATTAAATTCTGGAATTAAGAGAGCATTTTTCTTCCCACAATGACCGGGAATTAATTACACTATTGAATATCGCGGATCTCTATTTGCATTAGGAAACAGGAAAAAGAGGCCCAGAGCTCAGGATCTAAAATGGAGGACGGAAGCTAAGATGGAGGACAGGCCAGGACCTAAGATGGAGGACGGAAGCTAAGATGGAGGACAGGCCAGGACCTAAGATGGAGGACTGGAGCCAAAATGGAGGGCAGCCCAGAAGCTAAGATGGAGGGCCCAAGCTAAGGTGAAAACACTCCACAGCACCTCAGGACTTCTGGCTGCAAACTACAAACACTCCCTCACCCCACCCCTCAGAATACAAACCCTAGACACAGAAGATTCTAAGGTTCGGTGGAAGAAGTTTGGGGCTACCCCAAAGAGAATTCTCAGTCCTTGAAGATCCTGGAAGGCATAGTTAGGCTCCAGACAGATCAGAAAATGAAGAGAGATGGGGCTAAAGGCAGTTCTCTCACCACCCCAGGGCCAGGCCTCTGGAGTCCCTTCTGAAAGCAAGCCCACGCCTCAGCTCTCCCAGTGAGCCCCAGGGCAACACCTCCCGGAGAAAGGCATCGTTCCGTAGCATCTCTGAGGCCCACACTGCGCCTGCAGAAGGCCCGTCCCCGCTGTTGGCATATAACTGTCCAGCCCCAGACTGGCATGGAAATCTGAACTGTATGCCCGTCCAATATCTACAGACGGGTGTTAGTTTTGACCCAAGCAGATCCTTCGGGGTTTTCTGCAATCTCATTATCAGGACTCAACAATAATTTCATGTAACCACTGATTTGCTTTGCTTAACTAAGTTGGAGTAGTGTCAGAAGGCCGCTAAAGTCTGTTTTTTGACAACCTTTCCATCTTTTCTTAGCTGCCATGTCTATTCCCTATTTAATCACCGGGCAGCGACGGTCCACGCTTAACTTCCTGGGGCTGTTATGCTCAAAGGGAGCAGCAATGTCTTATACCTTTATCTTCCCCACGCGGAAGGGCACATATTAGGTGTATATTGAGTGAATGAATGAATAAATGAAAATGCCCCAGCGAAGGCCAACTCACCGACCCGGCAAGGATTTCATCCTTCTGGGAGGCTTGGCAGACACATGAGCAGCTACTGCAAGTTAAGAGATGCTACTAGAAAGGCAAAAGGGAAACAGCCATTTCGA